GTGACCGTGGTGGAGTTCCTTTGTAGACTATATTCAAAATATAATGTTAGAATCCGACTGGAGGGAACCAGTGCTATGCTAACTTCCTGTTGGACTACAAAAATACATCATCCCCGCAGCTCTCCATTAACAGTAGAGTACAGCTCATCTTCATCACGGAGCGTTTCTACTCGAGGAACAGAGTAGATGACATTGTCGTCACCACGGACGCCGCTGATGGAGAAGCCGGCGGCCCGGCTGGAAAAAGTCACCTCAGAGTAGGTGAGTCTGCTCGAGTCGCCTTCAGCCTGGAAAAAGAAAACAGAGAGAAGGTAAAGTTTGGAGCTTTTTCAGCTCAATAAAAAATCAGATAAGTTACTATTAAAGAGGTGCCATGTGGATATTTATATCCAACAAGCACAGTTGTGTAACTTGTAAAAAACATATTCGATCTTCTAATTGTAAAGTTATTTTATAACTGCATCGTTTCCTTCTGCCTTTTCTGCCTTTGTTGGCACATTGCCACAGTTCTCGGCACGTTTACCACCAACAACTGTCAAACAGAGCTGCATCGAAGTGCATTCATGAAAAACAAATCTTTAACAACCCTGAAAAAACCCAGAAACACCATCATCCCTTTCCTTTGTTTAGGCTATTTCTCATATTTATACTTGAAGATATTCAAGTCAACTGCAGACATTGTAACTCATGTAATTCATATAACAAACAGCCATTTAACAAAAGTTTATATGAAAGAAAGTAAGCTAGAGATGTAAAGAAACCTATAGGACTTCTATTGCCTGCTGGGTCTGTGACTGAAGAACAAGCTCACGAAAGTTTTCTTGGAAGCTTCTTTCTTTCTGAGCCCAAAGATAAAATCACATGTTTTCTACTTACTGTGTTTTGTAAGTTGACTGCAGTGACGAGGCTGTAGTCAGCTGAAGACATTTCCACAGCAGGAGACCAGCTCTGTCCGTCCTCTCTGATGTCCTCGTACACTCGGTTGGCCTACAGGAGAGGACGGGTTATGTTTGTATTAATATCAGCTCGCCTCACAAACACTAAAGATGCTCTCAGATTTCCTCCGACTCACCTCTGTTACATCCGCGTACTGTGTTTCCACAGGAGGTTCTAAAAAAACACAACAGTATGTTTAGAGAAAGGACACCGATGAAACATCTGGCTCGGCCGAATGGCAAGAAGACACTGATCATCTACTATAAACAATATAAATGATTTAAATCTATAATAAACTATGTCTCCCACTCTCTCTCTCTCTGATGTTCTCCCTGAGGTTCAAGTCCCCCGACTCCCTCCCCTCCCACGTGATGACATTTCATAATCCATCCACTACATCCATTAGAAATAGTCACTGCTGCTTGTGATTGTGGATTTTAAATGACGTTCTCACGTTGGTCAGTTGTGTCTGAAGAGAGCGACGAGCAGAAAGACAGAAAATGTGCTTCTGGTGTGAAAAGCGTTGCTTCTGTTTCCGGTGTGAACTCGGCCTCACACATAAACAGATGTTAGTACTGAATGTTGTGCCCGTTACTTGAGAAACAATTCACAGTGAAAGAGAGAACAAGCAGTTTGTCTCTCAAGAGAAATGGGAAGTTTCAGAGGTGTGACTGTCTGACTTTGAGCTTCCTGTTGCCTCACCTTTGGGTTTAGAAGTCCGCCTCCTGCAGAACAGCAGCACAGACAGAGATAATATCACCATGAAGACCAGAGCCAGACCCACAGACAGCAGCACATCTGTTTGAGAGAACAACTTTGTTTTACACTGACACTTCCTGGTGGACTGTGACATTAATGTTGTGTACTGGACTCATATATACATAAAGTATACTATATGATAAATATACAGTACATAAAGTATACTGTAAAAACGCATATAATCTTTGTAAACATGTGCATACACATGAATACATAAACTTCATAAGACCGTGTCATGTACAGTGTGAGTCTGGTTGGACACACTTCACTAGTATTACAACATGTTTATGGAGAATAAACATTTCTGAGTGAATGGCAGGTGTCCAATACAATCATAGTACAGAACACCTGAAACATGGATACTGTGAAACTCTTTCTACAGATACGACTTGCTAACAGTTATGCTAACTAATGCTAAGTTATTTGCAATGTTAACAAGCAAACAGACACATGCACATACACACACAGAGTAAATACTGTCACATACATGTACCTCTAGTCGTGTCAGACTGCTCGATGGTTTCAGGGGAAGCTGGTGAAGCCCTGGAGCTTCCTGAAGTGGAGCTCAAGCTCTGAGTGGTTGTTGCTGTGGAGGCTGATGTGACTGATGATGTCATAGCTTGGTTTGGTTCAGAAGTGGTCGGAGCTGTGAACAACAAACACATGCTGACACAAAGAAGTCCTGATGAGAGAGATGAGATTCTCCTGTGTGTCAGCTGAACTCTTTTAAATGAGCATTCATCAGCGTTCACACTGACTTTAAAACATCAGCTGCTGTCAGTGAAAACTTTCTTCAGACCTCCAGAGACACAAACAAACGTCTTCAAGTAGAAACTCACCATCTGTGACAACGATGTTAAACCCATGGTAGGGATCTGGAGAGAAAGTCCTGTCCAGACCACAGCGGTACCATCCTGAGTCAGACCTGGTCAGCTGTGTGATGCCCACATACACAAATCCTCCTGATGAATATCCTTCTACATATCTGATGCTGTATCTGTCTCTCTGAGCTCCGTAAGCAGTTGTTGCAACAAGAATGTCTTCCTCTTTACATCTTCCCTTACAGAAGTACTTCCTGGTTTCAGAGGCACTAAAGACACATCCAACTATGATGTTTCCTCCAGATCTTGAAGAGAAGGTTTTTTCTTCAGAAGAATCTCCATCCAGCAGAGCTGTTGACAAGATGAACAATCACTAGTTACTGTCTGTAGTTAAGATGATGATCCACAGAAATAAGGACCAAACACTGAGCATGTTGTGCATGTTAACGATTGAAGATGTGATGCATCATAATCACAGTTCATCTTCCAAGTGTAGATTATGAAAAGACTCAATATAGACTACATATGTATGATGTTTTTATGTATATATAATGTATTAGAACATGTTAATAGCCTCTTGCATATGAAATAAAAACATTTTTTTAAATATATTGCTATAAATATTGTGTGTTGGCAGGTGAACACATGAAAGAATTCTAGTAAATTGTCTACTACCTATTAATGAAAACATTCTCTTCAGAAGCACAAACTCTTCTTTCTCACTGACGTCTTCAAGGAAAAGTCTGGAAGATAAAGTTGAACTCATCCACCACAATGTGTTTGATGCATCAGCTTCAAAGCGCTTCAACACAAGCGCTCTACCTTCTGAGCCACAATCTCATATCTGCCTCTGATGTGAAGTCACAACTATATGTTACATTATGGATCACTTTCATCAGTTATCAGTGACAGCAGACCTGTCACAATGTGACTATGAATCGGTGTTCATGGTCAAGATAGAAGAAAGAATGTTTTTATGACTTTTAGTAGAAACTCACCGTCTACAACGAGGATTTCAAACTGCTGGTATGAAGATTTAATGCCACACCCGTACAGTCCTGAGTCAGACTTGGTCAGCTGTCTGATGGTCACAGAAACACCTCCGCTCCTGCTCCATTCAATGCTGAATCTGCCTTTCTGAGCTCTATCATCGGTTGTTTCAATGATATTGTCTTCTTGTTTACACGGGTCCTTACAGAGGATCTTCCTGCTTCCAGAAGAAGAAGAGGAGCATTTAACTGTGACACCTTTTCCTTCAGTTCCTGTATAAATTAGGATGAGACCGTTGTTTCCATCCTGCAGAGCTGATGAAAAGATGAACAATCATTAGTTACTGTGTTCTTCCTGTAAGATGCTACAGTCTGATCACGATATGTTCTGCTTCACGTTAACAGAGATCCACAGAGTCACACAGAGCTGCTCAGTTCAACCAGTTCAGCCTGTGACTGAAAATCAGAGACTTTGACATCTTGTTACATTAATGCAAATCCTTATTAAATATTCTTGTCTTCCTTATTCTGTGAACATTTGCAAACTCTTCAGTCCATGTCTCCAACAATCCATCATCATCATTTTAAACACTGCACACAGGGCTCGACAGCAACACTTGCACGGGGAAGTGAACTCTGTGTTTGGGTGAGTGAAACATAAATATGATCTTTATTAGGGTCTACTTTCAGTAAAACAACGTGTTCTAGTCGATGATCTCTATAAACGCTACATTGTGAACAACAAATCCGTTGAAATCTGCACCGTTATTTAACATTAACGTAGCTCTGCTCAGCAGTTAGCAGCCGGTTAGCAGCCAGTCCTGCTTGACTAAATAATGGCGCTAACAGCAGAGCAACACCTGGAACAACTACATTAACCAGACATGCAGTTTATTATAGTTCATTCCCATCACGCTGCTCAGATTAATCACAGTGAACGACTCTTCTACCAACAGAACAGAGTCTCTACCACAGTCCTGCTGATAGAGGAGCTAACCGCTAATGTACGGAGGTTCCATTCAGTTACATTATGATGCGTTCAAGCTCCAAACAGTTAAAATAACAATTGGGCAAAAGGTAAATCATGTGTTTAAATGTAATTTTGTAAAATGAAGTTTTGGTGATAAACTTGAATAGATCCAGTTGTTTGAGGGAGATGTTTACAGAGCAACATAAACAGATATGAGAGATGAATTATGAGCTGATTATCCTCAAAACACAAGCTCTAAAGCTGTTAGTCCATCATGTAAAGTAATAATGCTTCTAAACATTTTTAACCAAGGCAGATATCTGAAGAAAAATACAATCATTTATTTCATAATCATTTGAATTTTGTGTTTTTATGGAAATAACCACGATGACGACGATAACAAAGTACAAGGAAACATTTAGTGTTGATTTCACTTATTTATTAAATGTTCTATACTTTCCATTTCAGACAAGTTTGACTATCAGGACAGTAAATCACCTCAGACACTTGCTGAAGGTTAATAACAAACTTGATGTTCAGTCCTGCTCTACAGCTGCCTTCATTTTTAGAACTATATGTTTAACATGTCTTTATTGTTAATACCTATTTTATATTCAAGATTCTTCATTGTTTAATTTTCTTTTCTCTAACTTTCTTTATTGTGATGAGATGACTTCCAGTTATGTGAAAACCTATTTATAATAATATTCTGATCATCTTTTATTCTCTCTGCAGAGTTTCAATCAATCAAATGTAAATTATAAAAAGTAACCGACTCCTCCAGATCATTTCAGCTGTTTGTTTTTTACTCTTTGTTTCTCTCTTCTCATCCAACAGTGAGCCATACAAAGAGGAAGAGTTCGCATGAAAACCATGAAGCAGCAGTAACCCTCCTGAGGTCTAGATATCATCATGACGTGCATTTAGAACAGAGATCGCTCTTCACTCTCAAAGACACAAACATTCATCAAAGCTCAACAAACAGTAACGGAGCACCAACACAGCAGAGCGCCGTGAAACACTTCAATCAGCATTAAAACAGGTGAAGCAGACTCAACATGAGAAGATATTGTGGAGCTTCAGGTCACTTTTTAAGAGTTCAGACCACAAACAACAACGGCTGCTGGACTTTCAACATGAACTTGTTGTTTCCACACTAACGGTTTGCTTCACTGGGCTGGTTGTTGTCACAGGTCTCTATCAGTCTGTAGGAGGCAGATCCACCTTCCACCACATACAGCGGGTGTTGTGACATTTGGGAAGTCAGAACAAACTCCCCCAACAGTCAGGGTGAAGCAACAGAACACACAACTTGTGTTACTGTAAGAACACAACACAAGGAGGCGAGGAGGCATTGTGTTACCTTTGACAACAAGTAGAGCTGCAACCATTCAGAGAGCAAACTATTTTAATATTCAAAGACACGTTTCAGTGATGCTCCAGACATCTGCTGCTTCCAGCTTCTTCAATGTCAGGATTCAACACTTTTCTTTGTTATTAATATTTGATACTAAACTGAAAATGTTGCTGCAACTTTAAATAACAGGAAGTGAGACTGCTGGCACTGAACTTGTGTCTCTGAATTTTGGTCCGCTGTCAATTACTTTCACTTCGAAAGTAACTGATGTTTCCTGAGTTTGTCTCCTTCATCTCCTTCCTGATGTACAGTTTATTTATAAAGTACTCAGTACTAAAGTACTGCCCAATAACAATACTCACTCCTTCATATGTAGAGTAAATAGTTGTTCTTCTTCTGTCCATTCTGGCCACAAAGAGCCTGAACATGTATTGTAACTGATGTGAGGCTTCGGCAGTCTGACTGAGATGAATCAAATGAAGCCTCGTATGAACTTCAGATCAACATGAAGAAGACAGAGAGACAGAAACACAAAGTGAATGTACTCACAGAGGAAGAAGAAGCAGATCAGAGTGTGACGGACTTTCATGATGAGACTCTGATGGTTTACCTTCGCCTCTCTTCCTTCTTCTCTGACTAACAGGAAGTGCTTTCTTCTTTAAATGATGGAGTCCCTCCTCCAGACACACCTCTCTTCTCCTCCCCTCTCCATCAGTGAGTGTTTCTACTGCAGGGTCTGAGGTCACCACATATTCATGTCTGACTTCACACTCTCCAATGACCAAAAATATACAGAGAATGACCACAAAGAGATACAAAAGACCAAAAACAGAATAACCACAACCAGTTCAGACTCAGCAGCAGATCATGTGGAGCTCTGGCAGTGAGCATGTTTATTTTGCTCTGCTGTCTGTCAGATGGAGTGATGGTCGCTGCTGAAAGCTGAATCAAGAAGTTCACACTTCTTTAAAAAGCACTGCGGAGGTGTGAATGCTGAGATCACGCAGTTCCTCCTATTTCCTAATTGTGTACTTCTCTTTTTACAGAATTGTACCCAACATACTTAAAGAATACATGTTAAAGGAACAGTGTGTGAATATTTAGCCAACTAAATACCCGTCTGCTCAGCCCTCCCTCTCACAGCGGAAACACTGCGCTGGCCTTCAGCTGCTGATTCAGTTCAGTTCAGTTTATTTAATTTGCACAATTTAAACAATAAAATAAAAATAAACAAACGTAACAGAGATAAATAATATCAGAGTGCAGAAAGAGGCAAAAAGCCAATTTGAAGCCTCCATAAAATATAAAAAATTGTAGATAATTATAGATGAAATTTTAAAATTTCACAATATTACAGAGAACATAAATGGATATGCATAAGATATGACTACGTAAAATATTATTGACAAGATGTTTTTAAAATATATGAAACATGAAATATGATAACAATATCAATACATTACAAACAACATCGTTATGATTTCAGTACAATCGGAGCTACTCCTATCAATACTCTGCTTTTCTACGTGACGAAATAATTGCTTTTAAAAGCGTATAGAATTTCAAAAACCAATGAATTCAGAACAGGATCAGAATTTATTCACATTTTATGAAATTTACCTTCAGTTAAGGTAAAACACGTCACGATCAGGCTTTGCCTTCTGTGTTCTGTGTTCTGTGTTTTTGTGTTTCTTTCTGTAGCTCCGCCCTCTACCTGTCAGCCACTCCCTCAGCACCAGTCTAACTCCCTTCACCTGCCCCTGATCACTAATCAAACACTCCCTCATCAGCACAACTCTCCTCACCTGTTCTAGCCACTATTTAAACCCCTGCCTCCCAGTTACCCGCCTGTTTGTCTTGTCCTGCTCCCGGTCTCACCACGGCTGCCTGCCCGGTCTCGTCCTGCTGGATTTGCCCCCTCGTCTCTTGTCTCGTCCCTGGATTCCCTGTGTGTTCTTGTAATGTTCACGTTCTAAGTTAAGTGTTTATTAAATTCCATTTCACTCAACTTCTGGTCTGCGTTTGAGTCCACCACCCTCCCCCGTGACAAAACGTCTCTCAGGAGCCAGTTTAAAGTTTGTCCGTTCTGGGCTACTGTAGAAACATGGCCGTGCACGATGGCGGACTCTGGAAGAGGACCGGTTCCCTGTGAAGATATAAATCACTTCTTCTAAGATAACAAAACCACGATTCTTTCAGGTGATTATGCACTAATAAAAACATAGTTATGAATATGTTATTCAACGTCTGCTGATTAATCCCTGTACATTTGACTCACTGTTCCTTTAAGTGCAAACCTTATTATTCATAATTAAAGCCATACACATTTTAAGTTGTTTGTTTCCGGTATGAAGTATGAGTATAAATGTCTGGACAGATTCTGAATATAATCCTTTATATAGCTTGAATGCAACTTCAATAAGAGACTTTGAGAAGTAAATTGATGTTTCTTGTGTTGGACAGGATGTGTTGACCACATTCAGGTTGCTGTAATGCTGCAGGAGGATGTGTTGGACAGGATGTGTTGACCACATTCAGGTTGCTGTAATGCTGCAGGAGGATGTGTTGTTTTTGTCTGTATTTCAGAGAAAAGAGAAGTTTGTTGGCAAGTGAATTGTGGGTAAAGAGCAGCGTTTATCACTAAAAGGGAACACACAGTCGCAACTCGATTTGTGAGGAAGTCTAGAGATTCAGAATGAATATCCACCATGTTCTGTTCTTCTGCTTCTTCTCAGGTGAGGACTCACTACCTGACTGGTTCTTATCTGTTAGATATTCACCGTGTGTCTTTGTCCAGATGTTAAAGGTTTTCCAGTTGCTGTATTCTTATACAGATGTCGTATTGTCCTCTGATGTATTCAGCTTTCTAGTTTCTGCTGCTACTTTTTCACACTATAATCTAACCCTAGCGTGTCCTTTAGCCCCGCCTCCCAGCCCTCGGTCCAGCCTCCTTCTCATTAATCGTTTAAATATGGGCTATTCAAGTGTCTGTCATGGAAGCCCATTTCTGCCAGCAAAAAAAAAGGTCAAAAAAATAAGAATTTTTTTTTTTTTTGCTCGTGGAAAAAAAGTAAAAACTGATTTTTTTTCTTTTTTTTTTTTTCTTTTTCTTTACTTTTTTTCCAGCAGCATAAAAAAAAATGCACCAACACTTTTGGTGCAACCATCTGTAACCATAACACTGACCAGATGTTTCCAGTTGCTATAGAAAGTCTAAATGATGAGTCATAGAAGCAGCTCTTCATAGGTTATCCTACATTTGACGTATATATGGATTGTGAGTACATTGAAGACTTCTTTAAACGTGACTTTACAACAGATGAAATACTTCAATAGCTTGATGTTTCACATGGATTGTACTAAACGCCAGTAGCGGCTGGTGGAACATGTTCTAGGTAGGGCCATCCTATCAATTTCAGCAAACATCCCAGTATGATTTAATGCAAAAAAATGAAAGTATCAAACACGCATTACTACTTTGCAGTTAAATATTTAACATTTATTCCAACACGAAAGAAAAGCAGTAAATAACACTTAAATAATATAACATGTTTATTTATTGAGATGCCCCTATGGACCTTGTTATAGGAGGTAAAGATCAGGAGAAGTAAACATGAAGTGTAATTATGAATACTGATGTTAAATTAAGCTATGATGAGTTTTCACTGTTAATCTACCATCTCAATTAAATGTTGATGTCTCCATGACCACGTTAAGCAGACGAGACTGAGCACAACTACGTAGAAGAAAAGATGTTCACTTTGCCCAATATGTAGCTTGACAGAGTTCTCCATGTGTGTCCTGGTGTTCTCATGTTTCCTTACCTCCTCATCCCTCACTCCCTACC